CGTAAGAAATCAATTCACTCAAATTAACTGACCAACACGTCGTTTCAAATTGTTCAGTTCAGGTTTTGATATTTTTGGACATCGATAAACTTTATCATAGACGTTATTGCTACAGACAAGATAGATAGGTTATTGTTTGAAATCGATGTCGGCCATAAGATGGTTGCTACAAAACCTTTTGCTGATATCAGTGTACATAGTGCGTATCCTGGCGAATTAGAAATACTTTTTATGCTTGGTTCGATCTTTCGCTTGACAGACATCGGTCGCGATGAGAGTGATAAAGTATCGATCGTCAGAATGACGCTATGTAGTGAGTATGCACATGATTTAAAACAAATTTTTCTGCATATCAAACAGCAACTTGGCAGTGGAGAAACAAATCTTCGAACATTAGGAAAAGTATTATGGAAAATGGGAGAATTCGATTTAGCCGAACAGTATTTTACTCGTCTATTAAAAGAAGCTCCACCAAACGATGATTTACTTGGTACTTTGTATGAAGATCTTGCCTTACTGGCGTCGCAGACACGTGACTATATGAAGAGTGTTCAGTGGTATGAAAAATCACTCGAACTCAAGAATTCAAAACGACCGGATGATACAGAAGATGTTAAACAGCCTAGCAAAAATAGAGGTAAGTTCATCGAAAATTTATGATTTTGAAATGGACATCCTATATAAAAACTCATGTTTTATTAGAAAAAACGTAGTTGAAAAACCTCAAACAAACAAAGCTTGTGAAAAGTCATTATTGATTTCATCAAGAAATTCTGATTGTTGCTTCTTACACAATTATTTTAAATGTCTAGAATATTTAGCAGTTAGAATCGAATCGATAAAATTATCGACTATCATCTACAGGCTGTTAAAAAACATTTACGCCGCCCCCCCCCCCTCTTAACGACCTAATTGATCAATGATAGAATCAACTATTTTATACCAGATTGAAGCCCGTCAAAATCTGCGTCTAAGGATCTAATTAGAATAAACAGTCGCTAGGCAATAATCAAAAATACCTTGGACCACACATAAAAATGTCGAAAATTATATCATTTCGAGTCAACGAAAAAACTATCGCACCACTCACTGGATCAAATTGTGAACCACAGAATTCCCAATTTACTAGCAATATAAAATGCTCAAACATAACCGTTTGTGACGAAGTTCAGAACTTTGTATGTCATCCTTCAGCAGCTTTGAGAGCATCAAATCTTTTATTCATTGAACACAGCAAATCAATAAAAAGAACTGTATCATTTTCGAGATCTTTGAGTATATTCTCAACGTTAGTTTTAAGAATATCATGATTGTATCTGTTTTGACGATCTTCACTTGCCATTAATTCTTCGACTTTGTCTTTGATAATTGCACCAATGTTTTCTGCTGGATTCATATCAGGACTATTCCCAGGCCAAATCGAACTTCCCTAAAACTTCAACCCCTCGTCTTCCAACAGATGCTGTGTTGCATTGGCCTTCATACAAGGTGCCTTATCATCAAGAAATGTAACTTCATCTGTGTCGAGAACATTGGTTGGATCACGAAGAAATGGAATTACATGTTGTTGTAAAATAATTCCACGAAAATAGGCTCCATCCCAAGATTGTCCCTGTTCCTTCAGAACCCAAAGAAGTTTCTTTGCAGTAAAAATAATAAAAATTCCGATGCATCTTGCATCTTGAACCATTTCACGATACCTTTCATCGGTGCCGATATCCTCAATACTTTTTGCCCAAATTCTGTCATTTTGGTGATTTGGTTTTCTTACCACATAAATATAAAATTCATCCGAAGGTGCGAAATGCAGGAAGTCCTCTTCCGTCCAATCAGCAACAAAATATGTGTATTTGTCTTCAATGGCTTTGCAATCACATGGAAAGGTTTTAATCCTTGCCGATGGCGTTTATTATGAACAGTCACAAGGCTCACCCTCCTTCCTGTTTTCTCCAGAATTTCTCTTGCAACCTTTCGGGAGCCACTTCCCCTAATACCACTTGTAGAAGTAATAATGTTTTTACTCTCCTGAGAAAGTACCCGAGGTCGACCGCGTCCGTATTGTCTATAACACTCTTCAGTTGTTTTATTCCAGTGACGTCTAACCCAGTCTTCACTACGACGGAGCTTTTCGGAAATCCATTGACGAGTGATAAATGAGTTTCCTATTGTTGCAATCATTTCATCCCGTATTTCACGATATGTGATGCAACGAATTCTGTCCACAAATCGTTGTTCTTCCGAATCATGAAGAAGACTAGCCATTTTGATTCAATCAACTGTTGTGTCACTGGCTTGTTTTTATTTTAAAAATATTTAATTCAACTTTTAATGTTATCGAAACAGTTAGTTACGCGAATAACAAACTCACAGTAAAGCAAAGAAATGACAAAACTTGAAACAGTGCTCAAGATTACTCATTCTCTTTTCTCTACATTTTTCTTTTATCTATCGATCCACGGTGCAGACATAACCTGCTTCTCATCCTTTTCTCTGTTTCTCCTCCTCGTTCCTAGTCATGAATACTGAGTGCTTTTCAATTAACAACAAACACGTAATCCAGTTCGTGCACGTGTTTCGTAAGAATAGAACATACCAATTGCGAACAAGAACCATGTCAAGTAGGTAAGACTCTACTGTAACAGAATACGTATTTATTACTATTTCAAACGGATATAAGCTGCGATTCATGAAGAAGCAACTAATACGTGAAAAAAGATGCGTAGTAGTTTTTTCGTTGGCTCGAAATGGTATAATTTTCGACATTTTTATGTGTGGTCCAAGGTATTTTTGATTATTGCCTAGCGACTGTTTATTCTAATTAGATCCTTAGACGCAGATTTTGACGGGCTTTAATCTGGTATAAAATAGTTGATTCTATCATTGATCAATTAGGTCGCTAGGGGAGGGGGGCGGCGTAAATGTTTTTTAACACCCTGTA